CACATTAGGTGGGCTTAGGAACGTTTTGATTACACGAACACGAGATTCAATAACAATTCAATACAATTTTTGCATTAGATAGATAGATATATTTAACAGTTTAACCAAATCTTTTTTTTTTACTTTGTTGAATTATTAAAAAGAAACAAAAATTAATTCTACTTAACGTATTTTAATAGAAACAACTTAAAACTTAAAATTGAAAACCAAGATGTAAATATTATATATAAAAAAATATTTTTATAATTTTTACATTTAAAAATATATATATGTATACTTATGTAACACAATATTTGGTAATAAAAATATGTAGCCAATGTTTCCGTATTTTTGCTTTATATTTATTACCTTATACTTATACAATACAGTCTGTTTGGAAATAAACAATTTAAAATAACTTTACCAATTCAACTAAGAAGAAAATTAATAATTAAAATGCTTAATTCCAAACAAGCGGTGACAGGACAAACAATCTCGGACAAAATATTTCAGACAAAATGTCCCAAATAAAATATTTCACGGACAAATGATCTCAGGACAAATGATCTCAATGACAAAATATATCAGGACAAATGACCTCAGGACAAATGATCTCAGGACAAATAATCTCAGGACAAATGATATCAAGGACAAAATATATTAGGACAAATGATCTCAAGACAAATGATCTCAAGGACAAAATATATCAGGACAAATGATAACATGTACAAACGATCGCAGACAAATATCTCACAGTAAAATATTTATAGTATTTACGATTTTTTTAGTCATTTTTAACATTTTTTAATTGAATGTAATATTATGGATTTTCATTTACTTTCGGATAATTTCTCTGAGATCATTTGTCATGGAACCATACAAACATTTGCAATAATACCACGCTGTTGTCTATTCATTTTTGTTATTTTAACTTGTATATTAAATACCCAGAGTCGTAGCGACCCTTCCCGGCGCCTGGGGACAAACTTTCGATTTGCCCCCCCCCCCTCCTCAAACGTTTGATTTCCACCCCCCATCAAACTTTCAATTACTTTTTCCAACCGATTTTGGCGCCCCCTAAGGTCGGCGCCCAGGGACATATGTTCTCCCCTGCACCCCCTCCCCCCCCCCCCCCCCCATCGCTACGCCTCTGTAAATACCTTTGTCTTCAATATCTGGTTACAAAATTGTTCTGATCAAACATTTGCTAGGATTACGGCGCTGTAACACTTTTATCTAGCCGTAAATTTTAGCGAGAAGTTCGCGCATGTGTTAAATGCTCCAGAGCCTTTTAGTCATTTAGGATCGGAGGATTGAAAGACGACGTTATGTTTAGTTTAATAATTACCTAGAGCAGGGGTCTCCAAACTCCGGCCCGCGGAGATCTTTTTGTCCACGGAAAAAACGTTTGTTGGTGATGGCTGAGGAACTTTTCCCAGAAAAATCAAGAAGAAACTGGCCCCCAAACTGAAATTTGATTGTTAATGCGGCCCTCGGACTGAAAAGTTTGGAGACCCCTGACCTAGAGTGTTTGGATAGTTGATCAGGGTTTCTATTGTTACATACAGCAGCTTCTTTAGAGAAACCGAAGCACAATTGTCCGCGCCTAGGAATAGGGCTTATAGAAATTTAGTGCTTAAAACTTAAAATTTAAATGTTTTCGGCATTTTCTTTTTTAGAATATGCAAACAATGGTACGTAACGGTTCTTAAAATGGGGTTACTGGCCCGCAGTTCTACAGGGAAAATGAAGGTAGGCTTCGAGGGAAATAAGTGGGTGGATACACAAAAACGCTCCAAATGGTGTTTTGATTAAAAGAAAAAGTTTTGATTTTTTTCCGTTTTACCATTTTGATTCCGTCATGCCGAAGAGTAAAATTCAGGCTTTGATGGAGAAAACAAAATGCGAATTGAAAATTTAAATGTGGGGATGGGGGTCACTTTAAAAATTTCTGGGGGCCCTTGGACACAATAAGTTCACCCCTGTTTTTTCTTATACCCCCTGCGCCAGTTCACTAAGTCACTATCTTGCAACATTTGCTTTTTACAACGCAATGGGAAGTAACCCTGATTGTTTTCTTTTGTACTTTCATTAAACGCCTTACCCCCCTTCACGCACAAAAACTATCCATTATACAATTCTGAAGTGAATGATTATCGAACATGGGTACTGATATTTTTCTCCGCGGAAAGGAAGAATGAAGGGCAACTGACCCCGGTGGGCAGATCTAGAGGGGCATTACTTTTTAAATTGGTCGTTAAAATTCTTGTTCATATGAGGAGTGGAGGGGGATGCATATATATAGTCTTCATAGGTTTACTGTATAACATAAATATTTATTTTGTTGCTTTTAAGATTAAACAAGTAACATTACAATATTTATAATAATTGAAATGAGACTAACCATATTGCTTATGAAACTATGTTTGAATTTCGCTAACCGATCGGTTTAGACGTACTTTTTTCATCTGTATTTTTTTTTGGGGGTAACTAGAAAATCTAGAGAGGCAGTACCAAACGTGTAAATGAAGGTGGATGGAGGTGGATGAAGATGAGGATGTGGCTGAGGATATGGATGATGATGTGGTTGTTTTAATTTTGCTCCCCCAATATACATATACATATATATATATATATATATATATATATATATATATATATATATATATATATATATATATATATATATATATATGGGCAGTGGCGTAGCGAGGTCGGGTGTCACCCGGTGCGGCATGTAATGGTGTCACCCCCCCCCCCCCCCCAGAGGCGTAGCGACCCTTCCCGGGGACAAACTTTCAATTTTCGATTTGCACCCCCCCCCCCCTCCCCTCAAACTTTCGATTTGCACAACCCCCCCCCCCCCCCCACACACACACACACACATTTTTCTCTATATATTATGCTATTTTTTGCCTTGGTGTCACCCCCCTCCCCCCCTAAATGGTGTCACCCGGTGCGTCCCGCACACCCCACACCCCCCTCGCTACGTCTCTGTATATGGGACCGAAGAAGTTTACCTGTTTCTGTGACCTCAGCAAAAAAAGTATAGTATTAATTAAACCAACTGGGGTCATATCAATGAAGGAAAATTTACATAGGTCCGTTTAATAACTATTTGCTTTTTGTTACAGCTAACTATTTTTTAAAACAATAATACGTGAATATTACAATTTATTTAAGAAATATTTAAAATATATTCTGACTATACAACTTATGAATTTGAGTGCTATTCGGAACTACGCATGGAAAAGAAAGTTTTAGATAACTTCTCAATGTGTTAGAGTTCTGTGTTCATGCTGTTCTTATTTATAGTATTATTTCATGGGATCAAAGTCTGTTGATTGTTTATATTTTATATGGGGGGATTTAAGATCAGCATTTGCACTGTTCATCTCTTTTCTAATAGAAAATAATATTTCGAAACTTTTCAATTCATATATGTTACCTGTTATGCATTTAAATACTTGTGATTAGGCAATAGGGGTATACAATTATGCTGACTAGAAATCTCTTTATGCCCGAGTCACAACTATGAAAGTGGACCACCTCAAAGACCATATTTTCTAGAGCTACCTAGCTGGGTGTTCGATCTTCTGACTTGAACCACTGTAAGCGATGTGATTCAGTGATGTGTAGTGTAACTGGCTCTAAGTCCATCCAGGCTATTCTGTCTTACATTATCATCCTTATGGTCAGCCATATGCCCTGTTTAGTTTCACTAACGTGAATCAGGTACCCATAAGAGCTGGGTAGACTCATAGACGCCCCGCAGACTCGAGCCCGGAATACAAACTGGAGACTTTCGGGTTAGTTGTCGTCAGGTCTACCATTCGACCACTTCATATTCTGTCTCTAGGAGGAGAAATATCTGTTCCTCTGGTTACCTTTGGCCATGTAATACCACCATAGGTCCAATATTGCTATTCATTAAGACTAAATAATGTGTCCGTAATTAAAACCACTTTATGTCCAATAGTGTCATTCATAATGAATATAGAATGTAGGCCTACTCGTAATAGGGCTTGTAAGCAGGGGCGTAGCAAGGGGGGGGGGGGGCGGGGGTGCGGATCGCACCGGGTGACACTATTTAGGGAGGTGACACCATTTAGGGGGGGTGACACCAAGGCAACAAAATAGCAATATATAGAGAAAAACGTGGGGGTGCAAATCGAAAGTTTGAGGGGGGGGGGGTGCAAATCAAAAACTTGAAAGTTTGTCCCCGGGAAGAGTCGCAACGCCTCTGGGGGAGGGGTGACACCATTAAGTGCGGCACCGGGTGACACCCAACCTCGCTACGCCACTGACTTGTAAGTCTCGGTCTCTTTGACTCTCACATTGAAATCTCGTTGGCCAGGGAGAGAGACACATTTTTTGAACTAAATTAATTTTTGTAAACGTGGCGGCTTTTTTATTTATGCATACCTTCAAAGTTTTAAAATATCAAGATTATCCTAATTGCAACCAATAATATTAATATTACAACTACGTTTAGCACAACTTGTTAACGATTCCAATTAATAGTTTTTAAAACTCTAAGCTTCATTGAAAAATCACAATTTAACGTAGGCTATATTTTTTCTTTAAGCGAGCCTATATCTTGTAGTCTAACATCATCATTATTCACGATTTTAAATAACTTAACAATATCTATTCTTTTTCCTTATTATACCAATCATATTTGGTTTGAAAAATACTAGCTGGCAAGTACGAGAACAAGAAGTTAGTGACCTTCTTACAAGCCCTATTCAGAACACTTGATGTGTTCTTATTTTAGTGTTCACGCTTTTGGTTTTGTTTGGTTTTGTTTCATTTCCTAGCGTAAGTTTACATTGTACATACATGTTTAAAAAAGTAACTGTTCAACTTGCTACTAGATTATTGCGATTTAATATCTAAAACTGGTCGTAAATTTTGTTGCAGCTGACAAAAACTCGATAGTATAATTCTATTTCCCTTTATTATGAACATTCACATAAATATTGATCAATTTATAATAAATACGAACATTATATACAATTATTTTTTAACTCTAATAATGTATTTAAACACAGTGATAATTTAAACGACGAATACAGGATAGTAATAAATAGTTCCCTTGATTATAAGACAATATGTACAGTAAAATAACATGATATGTTAAGATAGTATCAGAGATCAGGCCAAACATCATAAAAATATCAATATTTCCTGACATCTTTCTTAGAAATCTGGTTCCGATTTATTTTTGTCCTCCTTAAATTCTTCTTCGTCAAACACTAGTCTTTGCTTGGGTCTATATATATATATATATATATATATATATATATATATATATATATATATATATATATATATATATATATATATATATATATATATATATATATATATATATATATATATGTGTGTGTGTGTGTGTGTAGAAATATATATATAGGCTATATATATATATATATATATATATATATATATATATATATATATATATATATATATATATATATATATATATATATATATACATATATATATATATATGTGTGTGTGTGTGTAGAAATATATATATAGGCTATATATATATATATATATATATATATATATATATATATATATATATATATATATATATATATATATATATATATATATATATATATATATATATATGTGTGTGTGTGTGTGTGTGTAGAAATATATATATAGGCTATATATATACATATATATATATATATATATATATATATATATATATATATATATATATATGTGTGTGTGTGTAGATATATAGGCTATATATATATATATATATATATATATATATATATATATATATATATATATATATATATATATATAATACATATTATTTATTTTATTTATTAATTTATTTACTTATTTATTTATTTATTAAAATTATCTCTTTATGTGCCTTTGTGTAATTGAGCGTCTGTGTGTATGTATGTGTGTGAGCATGTGTATGTGTGTGTGTGCGTGCGTGCGTACGTATGTATGTGCGTGTTCGTGTGTGTTCGCCTGTGTGTGTGAGTGTGTGTGTGTGTGTGTCTGTGTGTGTGCGTGTGTGTTTGTGTGTGTCTGTGTGTGTGTCTGTGTGTTTGTGTGTAAACTTACTTAAATAAATAATACAATAAGTAAGCGAAGGGTAACAATAGCAACAGCAACAACCAGTACATCCATGAGTTGTTACCTGCAACAAAATAATGAGGCATTAATTTAAATAACAACAGTTTGTTATGAAACTCAATCTGGGGGAAAATCTATTCTAACTTGATCATTAGTCACACCTACCGCATACGATTCCAATCAGTTCAAAACGAACCTGGATATTGCATAAATAATTAGTTCAATTCATCAAACAAGTATGGCCTTGGTATGTAAAAGAAAATGACTGGTCGCTTTCACGAACAGCCCTGAGTTCGAAATCTTATGAAGATGAGGCTCGTCTCCCCGAGATAACAACTTATCCCGGAAAGAAAACTACGGAATCAAAATCAGGAGTTGAGTCCGATATCCGGAAGAAAAACCAACACTGGTTTCTTTCCGGCGAATTCCGTTAGCATTTCTATGGGATAAACTGGCAGAGTGGGGTCACGATGCTGGGGATACCCGTTCATCTGGTACAACGCAGTGGCGTAGCGAGGTCGGGTGTCACCCGGTGCGGCACTTAATGGTGTCACCCCCCAGAGGCGTAGCGACCCTTCCTGGGAACAAACTTTCAAATTTTCAATTTGCACCCCCCTCAAACTTTCGATTTGCACCCCACCACCCCTGAAGTTTTCGATTTGCATCCCCCTCAAACTTTCGATTTGCACCCCCCCCCCCCTCAAGTTTTTCTCTATATATTTTGCTATTTTTTGCCTTGGTGTCACCCCCCTAAATGGTGTCACCCGGTGCGGTCCGCACCTTCCGCCCCCCCCCCTCGCTACGCCTCTGTACACCCGTTTGGGATTTTACTTCCCTGTGCGCAGTGTTTTGTCTCCATATGCAAACAAAAAGCCATATACAAAGTAAACTGGTTAACAAACTTACTTTTGTCTGGGCATGTCCCATCTACTCTTTCAGTACAATCCAAGCCTTCGCATTTCTCCATGCAATTTCCTCTACACTTTAATCCATATTTATATTTGGGGCAACCTATAGAGTCAACATCTTTATCTAATTAACATTGTAATTGTATTTGATATTTATTAAAGGCTTTTTAAGATTAAAGGTTATAAGATTATAATTTTGATCGGTTCCCAAAAAAATTCGCAATCGGATAACTGCGCAACGGAAAACTGCGCAAACAGAAAAATGCGCAAATACAAACTAATTACACTAATACGGTTAAATTTTGTCATATTTCGTGGAAATATGTTTTATAATGCTACAACATACATGTAATCACTCGTTGTTTATGTTTATGAATACTCGTTTTAAGAAAACAAAAATGCCCTTGCGCACCTTTTTTTTTGCGCAGTTTTCCGTTACGCATCTTTCTTGTCACCTTTTTATAATTTTAGTCATTGTTAAAAACGCCAAGTAGATGAGACTAAAATTGATTAATTGACTTATGTTTCTAAAAACATACACGTTTAACAATTATATATATATATATATATTAATTCACATATGATTAGCGCTGTCAATTTTAGTGCTCTGAGCGTTAAGCATTATAGGCCAATGGTGAAAAGCTCAAGTTCGAATCCAGCCACTGTCTATAAAACATTCCTTGTACTGAAGGTGAACGGGTGATGGCGGATACTTGGCTGCCACAATAACTGGTAGCAAGTGGGGATCGTCATCCTAGTGCGGCATTTCATCTCGGAGAGGGACCACTCTGATGATTAACACAGGCTTCATGAGTAAACATCGAGGGAAAATCGGGCGTGAATCCCATTGGGCGATAGGACAACGAGCTCGAGATTTCTATTGGCAGCTTCTGCAAGCCGGGTTTGTTTATTGTCTGGCATTTCTTTGAACTATATGGGCAGGTCGAGATAAAGACAAAAGATGCAAGGGCAATCTAGGATCTCTTCCTATTCCTACTTTAGTTACATGAATGCAACAGAGAATTAAATTTACGCTTACTTTAGTTACATGAAAGTAACAGAGATTTCTATGGAGACTCGCTTTAGTTACATGAATGTAACAGAGAATTCTGTGGAGACTCGCGCTTTAGCTACATGATTGTAACAGAGAATTCTACGGACGCTTACTTTAGTTACATGAATGTAACAGAGAATTCTATGGAAGCTTACTTTAGTTACATAAATGTAACAGAGAATTAAATTGACGCTTACTTTGGTTACATGAATGTAACGGAGAATCAAACTGACGCTTACTTTGGTTACATGAATGTAACGGAGAATCAAACTGACGCTTACTTTGGTTACATGAATGTAACAGAGAATCAAACTGACGCTTACTTTGGTTACATGAATGTAACGGAGAATCAAACTGACGCTTACTTTGGTTACATGAATGTAACGGAGAATCAAACTGACGCTTACTTTGGTTACATGAATGTAACGGAGAATCAAACTGACGCTTACTTTGGTTACATGAATGTAACAGAGAATTAAATTGACGCTTACTTTGGTTACATGAATGTAACGGAGAATCAAACTGACGCTTACTTTGGTTACATGAATGTAACGGAGAATCAAACCCCGCTTTGCAGGCTGTACAAGTCCCTTTAAACTTGTTGCAGTCGGTGACACAATGCTCGCACGATCTAGCACAGTCCATGTACCATGTGAAAGGTGGGCAGTCTAGAGTAGAAAAAATTATTAATGTCATTAATGTGACAAATATGTGTAAAAAAACAAAACGAACTACACTTTTAATTATAAAAATGACACAGTTTTTGTTATAATTTTTTTTTTTTATTATGTTCATCAAATCGCTTAGTGTTCAGCAAAAGATATTAAGCATTTTTTTTAATAATCAAAACGGCTTTGTATCATTAATGTATTTCTAGTTGTTAGTGGTTTAAAAGAACAGAAAAAGCTGTAAAGATGCTTATTTGTAATTTTCCATTTGCAGCATAACACTAACGGAACTGTGTGGTCGGATGATAAGGCGCACGACTGCTAACCCGAAAGTCTCGAGTTCGGATCCTCGGCACGAGTATGCCGGACGTCCCCGAGCCGACCCAGCTCTCATGGGTACCGGGGAAAAGTAAAGTCGGCTGGCCGTAGTGCTGCCCTGCTGCCCACACTATCTGGCCGTAGTGCTGCCCTGCTGCCCACACTATCTGGCCGTAGTGCTGCCCTGCTGCCCACACTATCTGGCCGTAGTGCTGCCCTGCTGCCCACACTATCTGGCCGTAGTGCTGCCCTGCTGCCCACACTATCTGGCCGTAGTGCTGCCCTGCTGCCCACACTATCTGGCCGTAGTGCTGCCCTGCTGCCCACACTATCTGGCCGTAGTGCTGCCCTGCTGCCCACACTATCTGGCCGTAGTGCTGCCCTGCTGCCCACACTATCTGGCCGTAGTGCTGCCCTGCTGCCCACACTATCTGGCCGTAGTGCTGCCCTGCTGCCCACACTATCTGGCCGTAGTGCTGCCCTGCTGCCCACACTATCTGGCCGTAGTGCTGCCCTGCTGCCCACACTATCTGGCCGTAGTGCTGCCCTGCTGCCCACACTATCTGGCCGTAGTGCTGCCCTGCTGCCCACACTATCCTTTCACATGGACGAGGTCACACAAAACAGGTCAACTCTACTTCATGTTTCCCACGGACCGCCAGAGTTTCTTCCAGGCATCTGAAAGTCTACCGACACCACCCCCCCCCCGAACGAAATGAAATTTATATAGAGAATATATACTTTTAACAGTGTTCGCCCCCTCCCCCCGGAAAATTCAGGTCCCCCCCCGTCCCCTCCCCCCCCCCCCCCGTCCCCCAGGAGAAAAAAGCCTGGAAGAAACACTACGGACCGCCGAGGCTGAAAGGGTACTCTACTTTCACTTTAAGACAGTTTAAGCTGTCTTAAGCACTATTCAAATTAAAAAGATTTTTTTTTTAAATTTTAAAAGTACTTGTTTATATGATTACTTTAGTAAATCTTGTTTTCAAAATTGCACACAAGTATTGTTGTATCGTTTACCGCTAATTGAAAATCAAAATACTTTAATTATTTCAGATGTAAAATATCACATATTTTAGCTAGTCTTAATTTTGAAATTTGGAGATGCTTGGGTTCGCGTAATGTATCTTCATTTAAAAAATGATGAAGAGGGGCTGAGAAGATGCCATTATTTTAAAATTTTTTGTAAATGCAAGCAAGTTTTTAAATTTATAAATGCTTTTTTAAATGAGTAGAAAAGGAAAACAAACTGTATTAAACCAGCACATTAATGATTTTTTGTTAAAAATGTGTATAGCATCAATACAAAGGCTATTGGTCTCTAGATCAGTCTTGAACATAATAACAGCGTAGAGAACAGTAGCGTACGCAGGGGGGGAGCAGGGGGAGCGGCCGCTCCCCCTCTGGCCATTTTTAGCAAAGTGGCGCCTTTTTGGAAACTTTTTAAGCTCAAAGTTTTAAACATTGGTATTTGTTAAAAAATTATCTTGGTCGGCACATTTGAAACGTAAATCTCTGTGAATATTGTTCTTGCAATTACCAGTAAAAGGTATGTGAGCAATACAGTGATCTAACCCATACCTTCTCATTATGTAAATAAACCGGTAGTGATCTCCCCTAAACTTTCTCGAATATTCTTATATAAAACAACAGGGGATGGTAACTGGGGATATAGCTATGATTTTTAATCCATTTTAAATACTTAAACTTTTAAAAATAGAATAGAATCTCATAAAAAAAACATTGCGCACCAAGCAAACGCCGAATAAAAACGCGTATAATAGTGCGCAATATTATTAGTACTTTAAAAATTTACATTAGTTTTTTGAGAAATCGGAAGTAGCGTAAATTACTACTTCCAGTCAACGGAAATTACTCAAAATTTAACAGAAGGTAGAGAATTAGATCTTTTACTTACATGTGAAATTTCATTTATCTATCTGAAATAGTACTCAAGTTATAGGCTTTTGAAAAATTCAAAGTAGGAAAAGTACCACTTCCGGTTGTCGGAAATCGCTCAAAAGTTGATACGGATCTACGATTTTGATATAATACTTATATATGAAATTTCATCAACCTAGCTGTAACGGTACTCAAGTTATCGTGTTTACACACGGACAGACACACACACAGACACACACACACACAGACATACGGACAAGATTGCAAAATTATGTTTTTCCGTATCAGTGAGGTGTAAAACGTCGAGAACTGTAAAAATCTCGATTTTTTTTTTGCACGATTACAATACTTTCTCTATACTTCGTATATACGAGAAAGTAAAAAATTATCTTTAAAGTACACTAAAAGTCAGTGGCTACTTAGAAAGTGCATGATCTGAAATGTAAGACCGATATTTTAGTTATATGCAGGCTATTATTCCGAATCTTTTACTTCTATATTTAAAAGCTGGGTTTTATACCAACTCTGATTTAAAAAACTTTCATTATGCTGTAAAAGTTTAGCATTTATGATGACAATATATTTAATTCTGATTGTAGATAAAATATTTTTGTAAAAACGAATAGTGTTAAACTACTTTATTAGATTCTTAAGTAGTTATTGATTTGTTTTGATATTTATGATAAAATATGTAGACATATACATATTTATATTAAGGTATTGATTATTTCCCCTTTTCGCTAGTCTTAATAGATGTCCCAGGAATTATTATGCATTTTTTTTTACAAGGACTACCAAACAGATTATGCCGTTTATTGTTTTTGGTTCTAGTGTGATTACATATATATATATATATATATATATATATATATATATATATATATATATATATATATATATTGTTTAGTATGAAACCTTTTTTTTTCATCGGCCTACATTGTGTTTTTTTTTATTTCTTCATAGTGCTAATTTAAATTTATTTTACATCATATCGAAGAAATATCATACAGCTAATATATATATATATATATATATATATATATATATATATATATATATATATATATATATATATATATATATATATATATATATATATATATATATATATATATATATATATATACTTATTAGAAAATATTACAAATTCGGCGCCTTTTTTTGCTATTTCCGCTCCCCCTACACCGAAAACCTGGATACGCCTCTGGTAGAGAATATGCATTTTCAACAGCCGAAACAGGTCAAATATATTCCAAACACTGCCAATGTTAGCGTAATGTGTTACCATAATTACGCTAATAAATTACTTTTATTTATTGGGAAATTTTTAAAATACTAAAACAGCATCAATTATTCAAACAGTTTGCGTTTTCCTGCAGTCTAAGCGAGGCGTAAAATAAATGATCCAATACCCCACGGTAATCAAACATTTTCATCATTTAGTCTACTTTTTAAAATGCTTATATTTTAAATGGCTTGTTATCATTTAGGATCCGCTACATATTCTATATATTCTGAAACAAAGCGATGGTTCGTATTCAGGATACT